TCTCCTCCAGATTGTTTATCCCACCTATCTTTTCTTGATAGACCTGCATAGATAATATGCACAAAAACAAGACAGAGCAAAACAGAACCAAGACAAAAAGAGCCTGTGAAATAATTCAAGGTCTGTTTGTTGACCTTTGAGTCTGATGGGGTACCATACTCTCGCCCCAAAGTCTATTTTTGGTATTACCTCGGGACTTCCTTGCTCTGCCCCTCTTGCTGTTCTGTTGCACACCCTTAGTGTTTTGCCTCAGTGTGGTGGGTTCAGATTAGGTGCAATCCCCACAGTCTCCAGTGTTGTCTCCTGTAGGGCTATGGGTCAGTGAGGGATGTTGTGTCTCGTAGTGGGGTGGGCCATATGGTCCTGTGCATTGGCTGCTCTGAGCAGGGATATAATCCTCAAAGCCTGGTGGGCCAGGATGTGCTCCACTCTCTCTTCCTCCCCCTTCATCTGCTCCTTTGTGGTGTGCTCTGATCAGACATGTCCGTGTCCCTGAGCTGGAGCTTCAGTGCTGTCCTTTGAAGTAAATTCTTCTGGGGGGAGAGGCAGCTGTCCACATAGTTGGGATTGGGGCCAGCCCCTCAGACCTCTCTACTGGTTCCCTGCTTCGTGCCAGTATGTTGCTTCCATGAACATTGATATGGATCAAGTAAGTAAAAATCCTTGTCAATTTCAAACTTTTCTCCATTTATTATGATGTTACCTACTGGCCCAGTTGGTCTTTCATTGAGTTGTAAATCATACTGAAGGCTGCAATCCTTGATCTTCACCAGCAAGAGATCAGAGAAGCTGGATTATAGGAACAAGAGTTGTGGTTAGAAGGGGTGCCAGCCCCCCACCACTAATCACGGGTTTGATAGGCACAATTGTATGGTTATTATAAAGATTATAGTAAAGTCATAGAGAGCATGAGAGATAGAAGAGAGAGTCAAATAATGGAGTGGGACACATTTCATAGTAGCATGTTCACCTCCTGGATGGCCATGATCTTACAGACCAGGTCCCCACACAGCGTGAGCCAAGGCGAGGTGGGGCGGAGACCCGGCAGGAGGCTCGAGGACCCTGTTTCTTGCTAACCAAGTGTTATATCTACTTCGGGGGCGTGATTGCAGGTAACCCCATGTCACAGGAAGGGGCAGTACAATAGGCATACACATTATAGGAAGGGGATGTACAATGGGCATAAGCGTAACAGGAAGGGGATGAGCTAGGGGTGTGCACATAGGAATGGAAGGGACTAAAAGTATGCATGTGACAAGATGGGTGGACCCTAGATTCATGATGGCGGCCTAACCTTGGTCACCCTTCAGTGGGCATGACCTCTCTGGGGTCTCCTACAAGGAAACAGACAACTGCTATCCTTATCAGAAGGGGGTGGGCCCTACTTGTGGGATAAACAGCGATGACTGCTTGCTGTAGATGACTGATAGCTCTTAGGGAGAATGACCCCTGATCTACTTCTGATGACTTCCAAGTGTATAGTCATTCACAAGCAGCAAAGTTTAGCATACATTTGGGGGAGACAACTTGGGAGAAATCCTTCTGTTTCCACAGAGTGGCATCAGGACTGCAAGAAGGCTTATTAACAACCTGTGGTAGGCCTAATGACAACCTTTCTTGCAGAAAGTGAGGAGGACATGAAACACTTGCAGATGAGGATGCTGTCGGTGTCCCTTAACTCCGTAATTCTTTTTGTTGTTGTTTTGAATGAACAGGAATTTTTTAAATTAAAGAATTAGAATATAAATATGAGCCAGCCATCAGTACCATTAGTCCTGTGCTAAAAAAAAAAATCTTTACTTAGATCTCACTCTTTTGTCTTGCTTCCATGAGAAGTTCAATTACATGTACCACATATGAAAAGTTTCTAGAGAAAGTTCAATTATGTCCCCATAGAATTTCAATTCAATAATTCTTTATGACAATCAGGCATTGTCCTTTGTGTTTGAAGATAGCCCGACCAAAAAATACCCCTCAGGGAGTTTAGATTCTAGTGATGACATTGCTCATATCTCCATTAATTACAGTAATCAATAAGTAAAAACTTTGCATTGCAGTATATATTTTTGCCTCAGTTTGTTATATTTAAATAAAACACTCAAACTCAGTGCCAGCAAATGGATCCCCACTCAGCAACCCCACAGGACAGAGTAGAAGCCCTGTGGGTCTCCAGGCTGCAAATGTGTACGACAGTATAAGGTCTTTCTTCCACAGAGCCACTGGTTTTCTCAGTCAGCTGACTATGT